GAACAGCAAATGTACAACGTTTTGACAAGGTTTTGTCGATGATGATGACAAAACCTTGTCGAAACGTTGTACATTTGCTGTTCTGTCAAACTTATATTAAAGTTTTCTTCATTACCCATTCAAGCCGTCTCCAGCCATTATTAGTCTCAAAGTGGGTTCCTCGTCATCGAATTCGAAATTGGCATAGCAGTGTGTTCCCTTTGTTCTTCCGGGTCATGACTTAGACGGATGACTGTCACTCTCGGCAATTTTACATTGTTACCAGTTGAAACTTCAACACAGAGCAATGGCGGCAACATGCGTACATGCCTCTCAGTGATAAAGAGTAGTGACTGGCCAATCTAGTGTTACTTATATCTATGTGCAAAACGATTAAATTTACCAAAAATACAAAGTAATAATCAATATCTAACTTACAATTCATTTAAAGTAACTTAGATGACAAAGAATACATAAATATCTGACTTACCAAAGCACGAGCACTGATGCCATGAAATACGTCATTTTCCCATGTGTAAACAAAGGCAAAGCCATACAAATGGACTATCATGGGTATATCAACCCTGGTATGAAGTGTACATGTTGATAAACTTACCACAGATCCCCTGAGAGAAGTGGAAGCAATAAAAACAAAAGTAGGAGGACAACAATTCTCTACCAAAGTGAATGATGTGGCAGTACAGCAACTGGTGGAAGGTGCCAGAAAAAAGAGAGTCCAAAGTGTCTACTCATTGATTGTTAAGAAGATGAAACTACCAGTCAAACATATGAATCAAGCTCCTTGTGAATTAAGGCCTGTACCTACTTTGCTGATAAAGTCAAACCCAATTCTTGGGAAGTCATACCAGTAGCAATTTTTTACTATAACGGGAAATTTCATGGTTGATACGTTTATCGCAAATTCATACTACGATCTCTTGTAATTCAGTAATAAGAAATAAATGCAAACCAAACTGTTGAAACAAGTGAATGCAAACACAGTTAAATAAAACTGTTGAAAAAAGATTTAAATGGCAAAGAAGCACATTCATAAACAGTAGCCCCATGCAAAAAAACACATGTATAAACAAAGCTGTGCCAATCCAGAAAGTGAGGGTTAAGTGGGAATACAAGAGGAACCTAGCTGCACCAGTATAGGTGGCACAGTACTATTGGTGGAGAGTAGTTACAAGATATGTTGGTGTTCATAAATGGCATGAAATAGATGGGGTATATATACTGTTGCACTGATCACAATTTTTTTGGGGGAAATGCTTAAGAGAGCAGCTGAACATTGAGATAGCTTTGTGTGAGAGAACATAGGACCGTATCGGAAGCATGGTTTCAAAGTACAAAACAACCTCAATACAACTGTAATGGCTAAGTTTCTTGTTATTTATGTATATATATATATTTTTTACTGTTATACATTTTTCAAGAAAAGTAACTATAGTGTAAAAATTAAAATCTCTTTGGGTTATGTTACAAAAATAATTAACTTAAAAGTTTTATGAGCTTAGGAACTTGAGAGCACAAACTTACACTGTGTACCTTGATGAGTTTGTTTACCTTATCTGTGAAGAGGAACAGGTATGGACTCTTGCTGTGATTAATTTTTCATGGAGCAATAAACAGTGTCCATGGAACAAGTACCAACATGTATAGCGTTATAGCTTATTTGACACAGAATTCCACACATCATGAAACTGATTTCACACATGATTCTAAATACAACCATGTTTTGTAAAACATTACAACAGATGCAATAGAAATGTATACACACTTTCACATTATAGATATTACTGGAACTTGATAACCAATTCATCATCACGCTCATTAATTGATTTTATTCAAACATTAATTATTATCACATGAGACTTTGATATTAGGAATAACTGAAAACAGTAATAAACAGAAACACTAATTTTGATTACTTATTTTTCATTCAGTAATGACTCTAATCAATTATGTTGAACAACCAAGAATTAAGTGAAAATAATAATGAGAAATCATAATGGCCATATTTCAAACACTTTTGACATTTTTAAATAATCTAAAATTCATAATTGGAAAAAAAAATGATTAGTATATTACTTTTGTGACACTAGAGAATATTTTATCAAAGTTTTAGTAAATTTCTTAAATTTCTTACTATAAACATCTCACCACTAATTAGACTAGTCAAAAGACATCATTACAACTGCATAGTCACTTTAATAACAATTGTAACAGTTTTGATCTACAAATTACCTAAATTTTCTCCACTTTTCCATTATATCTCTTTTCTTGTTCTTCTTTAGCTACAGGAAACTTCAAATTTGTATGGGAAGATCTTTTTTCTAAGGAATCAGCTTCACTTGTTGCTAGTAGTATACAAAATGTAGATTTGTTTCTAACAAGACTAAACATCAAGAGCAAAGAAAAACAAGAAATGGAAGTAGACAAATATAAAATCTTTATTCATACACAGTGTAAGTTTTTATTAATGAACCATGTTGTATATTCAAAATGGAACTTTAACATTCTACCAAGACCCACAGTTGAAGAGACAGATGAGAAACTCTACCACCCAAGCCACCAAAGGCTTGGTGGCAGGAAATCCCCTGCCAGCAGACCAACAGTGGAAGACCTTCCACTTGTGGTGGTAAACTTCCATGAAAGATGGACGAATGGAAGTAGCTAACAGGGAGGTAACTTGTTGCGTGAAGCTGGATCTCCTCGCCATGGACCAGGTGTGAATATGCATGATGGGGAGATTGGGATGAATAGTGGAGGATCAAGGTTGATGCATAAGGGAGGGATACTGTGGAAGAAAGACAGGTGGTGAGAGGAGTTGACATTAGAGCTTCGGAAACCAGGGTTGTGCTGGCCGATGGGGTGCAATCAGGAGGACCCGACAAGGAGTAGTGTACCAGAGAAATCACCTAATGAAGCAAAAAGATCTGTGAAGGCCAAAAAAGGCCTAGGTGAATCTTCAGGCTGTAACTGGGAAGGAATGGCAAATTCAGGAGGAGAAAAAAGATGATCAAAATCATCGTCATGCTGAATAATGTAAGCACAATCTGAAGGAGCTGAGGCAACATCAGGGGACAAAGGGTGACCCAAGTAGTGTTCAATCTCCTGGTGGCCAAAATCAGAAAGATGCACAGTCGGGTCGCCCACACCAGAGGTCTGAGATAGAAGATTGGTCAATGGTGTGACCCCCAAATTGGTAACATGGACTTTGGAATTTGTAACTCACGAAAAATGCACAAAACTGTCTAGTGTAGAAAAGTGATGATAATAAACTGGAAGAAATGTGGTAATGTATAACAACAAAAAAAAAAGAAAACACTTCAAACGAAAATAAAAAATGTGCCACATGGGAAGCACCAAGCACAAAAGAAAATTTCTGCACTTGAAAGCTTCCAAACGAGATGTGAAGACTCGGTAGACCAGTGTAGAGAGAGTCACATGCATCACTTAAGCATACTATGCTACTCTTGGTTAATAGACAATGCATGATGATTTGCATGAGACACACATTGGAAAGTACTACTTCCCACAAGGGGGAGCACAAGGGTTGTGACATGCATAAAAAAATTTTTGCATATAGAGGGCAGCACTGAACGAGAATAGCTAATCTTGTGAGAGGAGGTAAGTACCATATCAGAAGTTTTTTGTAATAATTAAGTAAGTTCCGTAACTAGGTAGAAATATAAAATAATTCCACTTTGGAATAACTCAACAAGTTACAGATATCACTATTATAGAATAAAGAGTAAACTTGAGAGAAATTAATACAAAGAAAATATTAAAATAAAACACGTGATGAGAGCACAAACTAAATGTTAAAACACAAGTACTGCCAAACGAGAAGTGATAGTCTGGTAGAATGGAATAGAGGAAGTCACATGCGTAATGAGTATGTATGGCACTCTCATTTGTGGTGGGTTGTCGTATAATGATTTGCATGAGAGACACATTGGAAGTAAGCATTTTCAATGGAGGGGAGGCAGAAGGTCTATGGCATGTATATTTTTTTCATACAGAGGGCAGCACTGAACAAGAATAGCTATTTATGTGAGAAGAGATGATGTACAAATACAAAATTTTTGAAGGTATTATTCTTAACAGAATACTTCTTCACTTTAGACACCCTTTATTTAAAAATATAGGAGGAGGATTGGGAACATTTTGAAGAAGATTTAAAGCAAAATGTTGAGTGTTCAATTAACGAAAAATAATAAATTTTGTGTTATAAAGTCGTTTATTTCTAGTATTAGCATATACACATCTGGACTAGATTCACCTAAAACAATTGAGTAAAAAGAATCAGCCTCTAAAAAACTGGTCCTGGGTTGTAATGCATGTTCTTGGATGTGGTCTTAAATGGTGGCTAAAGAAGTCGCCAAGTTCAGAGGGTTTGTTTTTAAGTTTGTGCAAAGTTACACGAGGGCTATCTGCACTAGCCATCCCTAATTTAAGGTAAGACTAGAGGGAAGGCAGCTAGTCATCACCAACTCTTGGGCTACTCTTTTATCTATGATAATACCCCCACAGCTGAAAGAGCGAGCATGTTTGGTGTGACGAGGATTCGAACCCGCTACCCTCACATTGCGAGCCGAGTGCCCTAACCACTTGGTCATGACGAGCCTAGGTCAGACAGCAAAGCTTTTTCCTGTACCTGGTCATGGAAGATTCTCAGAAGAGAAAACCAGTAATTATGTAGATACTTGATGTACTTCTGGCATTAAAATACCCCATCACCTATAAGCCCTTTAGAATTTCTACCAAAGAGCAACTCCCACCCAACTTCACAATAGTTACATTACTGCATGATGATGTCATTGTTCGACAAAATCCCTCCACCAATATGAAGGCAACACAATTCTATGTACAATAATTCCCCTTATGTGCTTACTC